ATTATTATTATTATTATTATTATTATTATTATTATTATTATTATTATTATTATTATTATTATTATTATTATTATTATTATTATTATTATTATTATTATTATTATTATTATTATTATTATTATTATTATTATTATTATTATTATTATTATTATTATTATTATTATTATTATTATTATTATTATTATTATTATTATTATTATTATTATTATTATTATTATTATTATTATTATTATTATTATTATTATTATTATTATTATTATTATTATTATTATTATTATTATTATTATTATTATTATTATTATTATTATTATTATTATTATTATTATTATTATTATTATTATTATTATTATTATTATTATTATTATTATTATTATTATTATTATTATTATTATTATTATTATTATTATTATTATTATTATTATTATTATTATTATTATTATTATTATTATTATTATTATTATTATTATTATTATTATTATTATTATTATTATTATTATTATTATTATTATTATTATTATTATTATTATTATTATTATTATTATTATTATTATTATTATTATTATTATTATTATTATTATTATTATTATTATTATTATTATTATTATTATTATTATTATTATTATTATTATTATTATTATTATTATTATTATTATTATTATTATTATTATTATTATTATTATTATTATTATTATTATTATTATTATTATTATTATTATTATTATTATTATTATTATTATTATTATTATTATTATTATTATTATTATTATTATTATTATTATTATTATTATTATTATTATTATTATTATTATTATTATTATTATTATTATTATTATTATTATTATTATTATTATTATTATTATTATTATTATTATTATTATTATTATTATTATTATTATTATTATTATTATTATTATTATTATTATTATTATTATTATTATTATTATTATTATTATTATTATTATTATTATTATTATTATTATTATTATTATTATTATTATTATTATTATTATTATTATTATTATTATTATTATTATTATTATTATTATTATTATTATTATTATTATTATTATTATTATTATTATTATTATTATTATTATTATTATTATTATTATTATTATTATTATTATTATTATTATTATTATTATTATTATTATTATTATTATTATTATTATTATTATTATTATTATTATTATTATTATTATTATTATTATTATTATTATTATTATTATTATTATTATTATTATTATTATTATTATTATTATTATTATTATTATTATTATTATTATTATTATTATTATTATTATTATTATTATTATTATTATTATTATTATTATTATTATTATTATTATTATTATTATTATTATTATTATTATTATTATTATTATTATTATTATTATTATTATTATTATTATTATTATTATTATTATTATTATTATTATTATTATTATTATTATTATTATTATTATTATTATTATTATTATTATTATTATTATTATTATTATTATTATTATTATTATTATTATTATTATTATTATTATTATTATTATTATTATTATTATTATTATTATTATTATTATTATTATTATTATTATTATTATTATTATTATTATTATTATTATTATTATTATTATTATTATTATTATTAATATTATTATTATTATTATTATTATTAATTATTATTCATTGAAAACGAAAATACTCTGATTAGATTTTAGACAGAGTCAGAACATCTGAGGGGTACTTTATAGGGAGGCGTTTTTATAATTTATAAAATATATCTGTTATTTACGTTTGGAAAAGAAAATTCTTTAAATAAAGGTTACTTCTAATTTTATTTTATCTATAATTTTTGTTGTATATAAACTTTTCCTAAAATGGTCTGTATTCGAGAAATTTTTCAAAATGTAAAACATTCTGAGTTTAAAGAAAATTGTTGAATTAAAAGATATTTGCGATATCGATCTCTATAATAATTTTTGTTTTTTACATGATTTCTCTAAAATGAACCGTAATGGAAAAATTGGAGGAAAGGTATAAAATTTAAATTTTTCAGCATTTTCGTTGGCAATGAGTGTATATAGAAAAATGTTTCAAATGTATGTGGAAAATGTATATATTAAGTTAACCTCTAAACATTTACAGAGGTGCTACAATAGGTTGTGCAAAATAACCAGAAAATGCCTGTAACAACTAGATAAGAAAGTCATGTGTTGGACACATCAGATTTTTAAAATAAATATCAAATTATATAGGTAATCTTTTTGGATCAATGTCAAATTATTTATTATTTAAATACTATAGATATGTACTTATAGATATTTTTAAAGTACACAATTTAAATATTTATATCGCCTTGAATAATATATAATATATATGGGATTGATTTGGAGTTGTTTTATTTTATCATTTATATATATAATCCAACATCATTATATTGTACATTAGTAAAACTCAAAATGATTTCCTTAAGAAATATTGTATTTATTTTTAGCGTTTTTACTTTGGCTTTAGGTAAGTTTTATCTTCTTTAAATATAATTTGTAATGTATTTTTGAAAAACCAGTGCATAATTAATGGATTAAACGACTTACCTGAAAGGAAGTTCAATCCAAATTGTACGAACTGCTGGGCCCGAATATATCCGTAATATGTAGTATACTCTCGATTGATCGAAGTGTACTATTATTTCACAACATTTTTAAAGATACTAAAAATTGGGTACGCCTCTGCCACATTCCATTCTTATTTTCGACGACCCGATATACCTCATTATTTTGTTGTGGTCCTAGATCGCTTATTTCTTTAGGGGTTGGTTATAAAATCCTTTTTCCCAGGAGGGAAGGGGAGTAGATATATTGAGGCCCAGCAGTTCGTACAATTTGGATTGAACTTTCTTTCAGGTAAGTCGTTTAATCCATTAATTGTACTTCACTGCTGGGCCCCAATATATCCGTAATATGTAGATGATATATATAAATTTATTAATATAACAATTGAATTTTACTAAATTCAAATACAAAAAACATTTAACGAAACTAGTTATTTTTTGTAACGCTTAAGAACTAGGTCTCCATAAATTTGAGTAACAGGCCTGTTGTAAAATTTATTAAACATACTCGATTTTTCTGACCAGCCGGCGTCTTTTCGTATAACTTCAATGTTAATGCTGGCTCGTGCCGCGGCCGAAGAAGATGCATGTTAGATCGCATGTATCTAATTTAACTTTTTAAAAAAGGTAATACTTGTTAAAGAATATATTGAAAATTAGTACATGTTGTGTGTATGAATGTGAGTTAAAAACTAAAGTACAAAAGTGGTCCTATAAATAAGGTCGCATATGCTGACCTCAGCATCAGCAGAAGTGCAGGTGCAACTACGCTGTATTCTGCGAATGCTGTAACATAATATGTTTTTTAGAAAGGAAGTTGTTATCGCCTGTAATTTGATATATAAGATAAGCGTTTTGAGACGCATATAACATGCATGTCGAGTACTGTAACCTGTAAAAATTGATGTATCGACGCCACTTATTTTCATTACTTCTTTTAGCCATCGACTGATTGTTTGTGAAGATGCTGGATGTATCGGTTGTTTGATTGTTAGTAGCAGGTATTGTAGTTTATCTCAGAGGTTTGGTTAACTTAAGGTATTGAATTAAGGCGCTGGCTGTGCACAAACTCGGATCATCGTTAAAGAATTTAAATACTAAAAGTGGTTGTTCTTTTCGGGTGGCACAAAATTGATCGAACACATTTGATCGAATACATTTGATCGAAAACATTTGATCGAATGCATTAGATCGAAAAAAACATTTTATCGAATAACAATTGATCGAAAAGAAAAATGATCGAACAGAAAAATGATCGAAAAGAATAATGATCGAAAAGAAAATTGATCGAAAATAGATTTAATAGAAAAAGCAATTGATCGTGAAACCAAATATTCATAAAATTATAGAATAATAAGAAAAATGAAATCAAAAATTTTAACCAATTTACCTAATCTGTGTGGCCTAGAATCATCGCTGGTTGCTTCGCAAAAACAAAAAATGAAAAATAAAATAAAGTTAGGTAACGTACCTAACTAACCCAACTTGTGCGAGAGCAATCAGTTAAATTTGAATAGCACAGGTTAGGTAAATTAGTTTTTTTTATTTTTATAATTTTTTTGCGAGGCAAACCGCGACGTTTTCAGACTGGAGCAATTTAACTGATTGCTCTGATACAGATTAGGTAAGTTAGTTAAGTTTTATAAAAATAAATAAAAATAAAGAAAACCTAACTAATTTACCTAACCTGTGCGGCCTGGGGCAATTTAACTAATTGTTCTGATAGAGCTTAGGTAAGTTAGTAAGGTTTTTTAAAACTTAACTAAGTTACCTAAAACTTAACTAACCGTACAGGTTAAGTAAATAGGTTAAGTTTTCTTTATTTTTCCCTTTTTCGTATATTTTTTTTTGCGAAGCCACCCTCGAGCACTCCAAGCCGCACAGGTTAGCTAAATTAGTAAAAGTTTTTGTTTTTAGTTTTTCTTATTTTTCTATATTTTTTTTGCAAGGATAACCGCGTAGGATCCAGGCCGCATAGGTTAGGTAAATTAATTAAATTTTTATAATAAAAAAAACTAAACTAACTTACCTAACATACACGAGAGCAATCAGTTAAATTTAAATAGCGCAGGTTAGGTAAACTAAGTAAGTTTTTATTTTTACCTTTTTTGTATTATTTTTTTTTTTGCGAAGCAACCCTCGAGGGCTCCAGGCCGCATAGGTTAGGTACATTAATTAAAATTTTTGTTTGAATTTTTCTTATTTTTCTATATATTTTTTGCGAGGCAAACCACGACGGCTCCAGGTCGCACAGGTTAGGTAAATTAAATAAATTTTTTATATAAATAAATCTTAAAATAATTTACCTAAAAGGTCCCATCAGGAGACAACTCGACCTTATTGAAATACATATTTTGTGCGAATTAATTACATTTTTTTAATCCAAATGAAGATAAATAACCGTTTAGCTCTAAAATAATTATTTTTAAATTAACAGTATTGTAAGCATAAAATTTGTTAAACGAGGTAGCTATCATTTAAGATTATTAAAAATTTTTCCATCAATGATCAATTTTGATAGCCGCTTAGTTTAGTTTCCCTGGCAGCAGGGATTAAACGGACGATTGAATAGCATCGTTTGATTTTTTTATATTTTACTATTTTTCATGTTGATTTTCAATATATTGTTCTTTCGATCTAATAAATTTTCGATCTATTGTCTTTTCGATAAAATGTTATTCGATAAAATGTATCTTTGATCAAATGTTATTCGACCAAATGTATTTTCGATCAAATTCCATTCGAAAAAATGTATTTTCGATCAAATTTCCAATTCGATCAAATGTTTTTCGATCAATTTTGTGCCACCCGTTCTTTTCTCGGAGCTGAAGTTTTGAGCATTTCAGATATAATGATTTCAACTCTATCTCCCTCTGTGATATTTATGTCAGAGATTTTGATTTTTGACAATGTTTGTCAACGTTTCCAGAGAAAGATTTTCATTGGGATGTAAGGTTTTAAGATAAGATAGAACTACACTCGTGTCCCAAGTAGACGTGTATTTAGGGAAAGTTGGCTTTATTCGAAAGGCTCCTTTCAGAAATCTTTTGATTAAAGATTCATCCTCATTTTTAAATTTAAAAATGAAGGGTGACAGTTTAGTGTGTTGTAAGAGGCTCCCGTTTCCTGTTCTTGTTTTAAAAATTCCAGGAATTGTTGTATTGATGGGCCAAAATGGTCGGTTTTATGTTTCAAACAAAACTCCCACCACTTTTTATATGATGATCCATATTGTTTTAGAGTAGAGTTACTCCAGGAGGCTAAAATTGTAGAAATGCACGATTCTGGGATATTATTTCGTTGTAGTGCTTCCCGGATAACTTCGCTACTTCCAGGGTAAGCGTCTTGCTATGGGGGTGTTCTTCCCAATAATATTATTTTGGATATTGTTATTCTAGAAAAAAGTGGATACCGTGATTGAGCTTTCCAATATGGTACAACCACTATACCATCGGATTCATCTGATACAATTTTTTCTAGCACTTGGGGGATAACCGCAAAAGGAGGAAAAGCGTAAAATTTTAGTTTTTTCCAATTTAGAGTGAATGCATCTACCGCTGTTGATTCAGGATCTTTATGCCAAGATACATATTCCCTACATTTTTTATTTGTTATGGTTGCAAATAAGTAAATTTTGCATGGGTTTTCCAAGTGTATTAATAATGTTTTGGTAATAAGAATCATTTAAAGTATATTCTGTATCAATAGATGTAGATCTTGAAGCTGTATCAGCCTCTTTATTATCTATTGAGTTAATATAAGAAGCAAACATGAAAATGTTTCTCTTTTCACACCAATGCCATATCTCTTTTGTGAGATCATTTAAATGTTTAAATGATATGCCACCCATTCTATTAATATGTGATATGGCTGTGGTGTTATCAATTCTTAACAAAATATTGCAGTTATACATTTTATTTGCAAAACACTTTAGGCCATAAAAGGCTGCCAAGAGTTCTAAGTGTATGTTGTTTTTGTTCAGTAAAGTTCCAAAATCCCGATACACTTTCCCCTTTTGCGAAAATCCCCCATCCAGATAGCGACGCATCTGAGAAAATTTCAATTTTTGACCTCCGTTTTCTGAAGCTAAGTTGAGTTTCCTGTATATTATTTATCCACCATTCAATTTCTAATGCTATATTTCCCGGTAACATGATTTTAGAACTGTACTCCCCCCCCCCCGCTCTTTTCAAACCTAAATATTTAACTCTTTCGAGGGGTTTCATATTTAACCATCCATATTTTGTTGCCGGGCATATTGAGACGAGCGTGCCTATTATTTTGGCCAATTCGCGTATTTTGCAATATTTTTTGTTTTTAAATTGTTTTAATAGCTGTAAAAGTTTTTTGGTTTTGTCTGACGGTAAGCTTGACAAGTTTTGTGAGTTAAATATGAATCCCAAATATTTGCAAGTTTGGGAAGGAGTTATTGAGCTTTTTTCCCCCTTAATTATGAACCCTAGCTTTGTTAGCAACTCTAAAGCGAAAGTTGTGTTTTCTATGCATTCGCTTTTTGTCAAACCCTTTATTAATATGTCATCAAGATAAATAACTGATAGAAAATTTTTGGACCTTAATTTGTGCATAATTGGTTTCATAATTTTAGTAAAAATATATGGGGATAAACTAAGGCCGAAAGGTAAACACTGATATTCATATAGTATATTGCTGGATTTAAACCTTAAATATTTTTTATCTGTTTTCCTAATTGGGACTAAAAAATAGGCATCTTGCAAGTCTATTGTACACATATAACATTGAGGTTGCAATATTTTTTGTACTGTTCGATAATCCTCTAGTTTGAAATGGGGTGCTATTACATAATTATTTAATTGTTTTAGATTAAGTATAAACCTATGTTTGAAACTTGGTTTTTTCCTAAGAAAATAGCTAGATACTAACT